TATTTTGGCAGTGGCCTTTCTCTGAGTTGAGCCGTCCCGGAACATTGGCTACAACACTTGCATTTCCTTTTTCATGCTTGGGCAATCTTTCGACGATGCTTCGTGAGGGCAACGACATTTTCAACATTTTCAAAGTTCTGCTTGGCAAGCGTTTGCGCTATGTGATTCTGAGCATAGCGGACACAGAGCCAGGTTTGCACAAACAGCACTAACATGCCCCAATCTATAACATTTCCTGCATTATAGGAGCTTCGGTACAAAGGGTCGCAGTGTGTGTCGAAAATAGCCGACCTTGACTTGCGATGGAAGGATGTCTTGCTCGAACACGAGCTTCACGCAGCGTGATTAGCCAAGGCGACGAGCTTGTAGTATGGTAAGACCTGCAGACACCGGTTTGATGAGACCAGCAAAGTCACTTTCGCTGATGGAAATGTCGACATCGTAAATGACGCCTGCGGTAGAGTCGCGGTCATCAGGTATGTATGAGCGAACATCTTGCCATCGTCAGATGTATGCAACATCTTGACGTTGCTCAACACTTCCAATGTGCTTCGTTGAGTGACGTCTACGGCAAGGATATTCTTACGGCCATTGATCCGCACGTCCGCGATCTGTCTCTGGGCTAGTTCCTCTAGAGACCTACCTGTGACTTGACGATTGAGCCGGTTGAAACTATGAGCCGCATTGACGGGCACAAACAGAATTGTGCATATCGTAGGCTCTCGCGTCTTCGTAGCATTCTTACTTGTTGATGGAGACGGCATCACCGGTCTTCTTTTTGGCTACCGCCTTGTCACAGGCACGAAGTCGCTTTCGTAGGAGCTTTCGTCGCTGGCCGTAGAGTAAATCAGCGTGTCCTAGTTCTCGGCATCACGTTTCAACTAAGCAGCCGTAATCTTTTCCCCAGAATATTTTTTATTTCGCTTGGTATATACGTGATCACAAACGCGCGTGCGTATAGCATGCGTATTCATGCATATATATGCAGCGTGTCTGCATTTATAGCGTGTGTATTGTGCGTGCATATATATATATATATATATATGTGTGTGTGTAAACTACTTCCAACACGAACAAGCGAGCGTTCGGAAGCCCACATCTTCTTAATTAGGAACCTAATAACCTGGATCAGTCAACAAAATGAAAGGCGCACTTGTATTACAATAGAAACTGCGATTTTCCTTATCTCAATATACACTGGACCAGGCATAGCTCCGTTATGTATTCTTGTGAACGGTATGCGTGTAAAGCTTTTTTTACGGCACAACAGAACTGATTGAGATCCATGCAATCGACAGCACGAGCCGCAGCCTACTTATCTCGAAAACAGATAATGCCTTGCCTGGAGCAGTGTATGAACGCTGCGCAAAAGTGGTAGAACCTTCTGAAGAGACCCATACACATGAGCAAATGCCATCTTAAACCTCGGGCTCGATATACAGATTCTTCAACTTGGAATAAATACAATGTCGTTCACCGAAAAGGTTCGATGTCTGTGCGCACAGCGCGACTATTTCCGCTGTTTCGCCAGTGAAATCTATTATCCCGATGAACATGATATGTTCCATGGCCAGCATTCTCTCGTCTTCGATAAAGCAACGTGATCCGATTCCACAATCAAGAAGCTTAAGCACAGCGCCAAGATAAACCACAGCGAAGTGCCACGTTGACCCTGTTAGGCGCAGCTCTCTTTGTTTTTCGACCAGTGTTGTCAGGACACGGAGAGTTTTCTGGAGTTGCGAATATTTCAGCATTATAGGTAGTTTATGCGGCTAATTGTTGTCACATATAGTTGTTATATCCAAGTATTGATTTCAGAAGCCTGCCACATTTTCTGTATTTGTATAATTGTAAGTATAGAAGGTCTTCTAACTCTTTTTGAGTACTCTGGTATCGCCTTTTGCAATATTTTTACTATGCAACTGCAACATGACTCTTTGGCAAAAAATTTTATTGAAAACTTGATGTTGGAGCTCTTACGTAGAGCACACCACCCCCATGTTGAAACAGTGGTTATGCTGTTCGGATGCTGACCGGAAGGCCACGAGTTCGATCTCGGCTGCAGTGGTCGCATCTCGGTGGAGGCAAAGTCGTAGAAGCCCGCGTACTGTGCAATGTCAGGGCACGTAAAAGAGCACCAGCTGTACGAAATTTCCGTAGCCTTTTGCTATTGCGTCTCTCATAATCCTATCGTGGTTTCGGGACGTAAAGCACCAGATATTCACTCTAAGAGAATATCGAATGCAAAATGACGTATTTTTGTCTCTCAACAATAATCATGGTCTATCTTGAATTACTTTCCTTGCATTATTTCGCCACGAGCTCAACACTGTCACGTCCCCAACAACATGCGCCTTATCAGCGTGACGTAGTATTCTCGATGCGATAGTGGCCAGCGCCAAGTTTTCAAGATATGAGGGGGCCAGCAAGCCAGACGACGATATTGTTGGTGGACGAAATCACCCTTTTCACTCGATGCGCTTTTTACAGAGTTACCATTATTTCACAGATCACTCAGAGCTTAAGCCTAACACGTTCTTGCTATGGAAGCCAAGCTCCGTCACCTGGATTAACGACCACTTACAAAAAAAAATATCCTGCGACCTCGGTCAACGGTCTCGCATACGCACAAAGCCACGAAGGATCTCTTGTGCTACCGGACTTCACAAGCGCTTGTGAAAGAACAGCGTGAGGCCGAGCTGCGTACTCTCGAGCTAACTATCCAACCGTTTCTTACTCTTCTTTTTTTCTCTCTGTTTTCTTTCTATATTCCCCCTCCACTCCTCCTAGTGCAGGGAAGGCAACAGAGGTAAGCTTGGTTAACCTCCCTGCCTTTCCCATCTATTTCTCTCTCTGCTAACTACTTGTTCGATGTGATGAGTGTTCATGCTATGTTCGCTTTGTTAGTGTGAAATATGCTCCCAGAAAGGGAAAGTCGCTCTGGAGCTCAGTGTAATAAAATGGCGGGCAAGGTGGTTCTGAATAATGATGAAGGTAAGCGCGGCTCACGAGGCATACAAGAATAGACGACAGAGGACGACGCGCTCAAATGTCGTCCAGCGTAGCACGTCGTACGGTGTCGTCTATTCTTGTGTGCCCTCCTTGTCGCACCTCTCTAGATTATTCGAGCTGCCGGTCGGCTACTGCTCCTCACTAAAATAAAGCTTTCGTTAAGTAGGCATCGGTGTCTGGATTTGGAAGCATTCTTCACGAGTCTTTGGTGAAGGTTTAATTAGAGTAATGCAACATGGAAGGCCTTTCTCACGTCAATTTATTAACACTTACACCCTTACGCGTGTTGAATACTATGACTTCCTTAGCAACACTCCTGATCTCTTCCTGCTTAAAGTGCTGGATATAGTCTAGAGACAGCACATTTTCCACATAATTTCCTTGATATGGCCGGTATTTAACCCTTTAATGCCTGAACTTAAACTACGGAAGAAAATAAAGATTGGTTTAATTTTTTTGCTTTACAGAGCAACCGGTAAAATATTTATATAGCAATCGAAAATGTACCTTTAAGTCATACATGTTTGTCAAGAATTCTCCACATGCCACAGAAACGAGGACATTGCAATGCAAATTGACTTCGGAACTACGCAAAATGTCGTGTGCCATGTATTGAGCACGTACACACGAAATAAACAAAATTGTTGAATATAGAAATTGCGTCAGCCAGGTGACAAAAAACGAAGAAGTGAGGGTTCTAGCAGGCGCTTCGCGTTTTCTTCCACCAGCTACAGAACAATTGGTTCTAGCATAAAATATATAAAACACGGTAGTGCTGGATTTTTCATGCTGAGAGCTACATTCCTATATAGTGAGTATTTGACGGCTGGCAATAAAGGTGTAACGCATTCCGTGGTCCCTTGCTCGAAGTGTTTCGGTATGTTACGAATTCCCGAAATTAGGCAGTAAAGGGTTAACAGAGACCCGATTAAGTGTGTACTGCCCACATTTGCTGGGCCACATTACGCCCGATATACGGCTCAAAAAACACGGACTGATTCGGACGGCTGTGATGTCAAACGGTCTCCCACAGAGTCACGTAAGTTGGACTACCGCATTTACATGTATTCTACCAGGCCATTTAAGAACTATCTATTGCTGTCCTGTGTTGGCTAAGTTATCGCTAATGTTGGCGTCTGGTACTGACGTTGGCTGAAGGTGGCTTAGTGATCGGCTGTTATACTATTAACGCCGCATCCATTCATGAATAGGCAGTTTGGGTGATATGGTGATTCAATATCGACGTGATAGAACGGCGTAAACACAACGATGCCTGAGCTGTCTTTTTCTTAGTCCTCGTTCAGTTTGCACCGTACACTGGTGTCCTGACTCGATGTCAACCCGCTGATTAAGTTTTTTTTGTTTGCTTTGTGGATAACAAGCATAAATACATTTTTCGAAAATTTATAAATTTGTACTCAATAGCATGCCTATAGCTATCTTTCTCTCTGCACACACACACACACACACACACACACACACACACACACACACACACACACACACACACACACACACACACACACACACACACACACACACACACACAAACACACACACACACACACACATATATATATATATATCTATATATATATATATATATATATATATATATATATATATATATATATATATATATACGTGCACGCGCGCGCGCGCGTGTCTGTGTGTGTGTGTGTGTGTGCAGAGAGAAAGATAGCTATAGGCATGCTATTGAGTTCAAATTTATAAATTTTCGAAAAATGTATTTACGCTTGTTATCCACAAAGCAAACAAAAAAACTTAATCAGCGGGTTGACACGCGCGCGCGCGTGCACATGTATATATATATATATATATATATATATATATATATATATATATATATATATATATATATATATATATATATATATATATATATATATATATATATATATATATATATACGTCTGTGTGTGGCATAGTTTACGCTTGAACATGTTATTGCATCTCTGAAATCTTACAGTTTACGGCCATGGCGACGATAAGAGGCCTGCCCTTATGCATGGTCTCCGTTATCCACACGTCGCAGGACATGTTGCGTGCTGGATAGTGGGCTTCATCGGGTGTCGTGTTCCAGTGAGTGGACGTTAGCAGGTCCCTCAGGTAGAAGTAGGGCCATCCATCCTTAGTCTCGAGTGGACCGACAATATCGCTGCTCGGCTTAATGAGGTTGCATGTTGCGCTGTGCGCTGGAAGAAAAATTACGAAATAGTGCAGTAATTCAAGCGATAAGGTTAAGGCGTTCTTTATTCATCGCCGGAAGTAACTGCACGTCTGTGTACTCACGGCATAGAAAGGTAGTCGAAGTGTTAGAGAAAAAGTAGTCGAAGTACACAACCAGAATTTGTTGTATAAAATTAGAATTGAAAACAAGGAGGATAGAATTGTTAGTATCATTTGCTCTCGGGCTAGATGGTACATGGTTGACACTGAATTAATGGCACAACTGACAGGGTTCTTAAATTATGGAGAGCGACGAAGAAACACATGACGCGGAGGAGCCCACACATGCAACTAGTTTTTATTCTTACTAGAGATGTGGCTCACAACCCTCAAGCATAGGTATATAGTCGTTTACAACCTAAGAATAAATCGAAACTCCACCTACAACCATACCACTCCCACCGCGAGAAAATTCGCATGAGATTACTGATTGATATGTGGGGTTTAACGTCCCAAAACAACCATATGATTATGAGAGACGCCGTAGTGAAGGGTTCCGGAAATTTCGACCACCTAGGGTTCTTTAACGTGCACCCAAATCTGAGCACACGAGCCTAAAACATTTCCACCTCCGTCGGAAATGCAGCCGCCGCAGCTGGGATTCGATCCCGTGATCTGCGGGTCAGCAGCCGATTACCTTAGCCACTAGACCTCTACGGCGGGGCTGCATGAAATGACATTGTTTATATTTTTGTGTCGCCAAGTACCGTTTGCGCATTCATGGTTTTCTAATAAAAACAGATGTTGGAGCAACTGATTTTCAGTAAAAAAACGTTGACTTTTTGCGCAATTTCTACACAAATTTTGACCTTAGTTTCTGTGAAACGTAATATTTCAAGTAAGGAGCTCCAGCTTTGAATTGCTATTGCGCGCAGTATTTGTTTCAGCAGCAAAAACATGCTCAAGGTAGCAATGGAAACTTCAAAATGACTCTATCGCACAGATGAATGGCTGGTGAGCCCCAGATTTGGGAGGGCGCTTGTACTTTTTTGTATATTTTGATTTTAATTCTTATGTTGTAACTCACTTTTGGACCAAACAAAATAAATAATATGGTCTTTAGCAACACCGCTCAATCAAATCTTGTCAACCATGGCCACATGAAGTAACGCTAATGGAACGATCGTCCAATTTCTCTATATACAGTACATAGACTCAGCCAATCCCGAGCTACATTGCTCTTTACTGTTCAGCAAAATGTATGCGCTGCCGAGCCATAGTGATATAGCAAATATTGTATTAAATCTTGTGTGGTGCCTGTGTTGCTCAACATTTAGCCTTCTAACATGAATCGACATCTAGAATCCACTTTGTTTTATCCCAAGGTTCTGAGGGTGTTTCGATATGTTGAAGATTTTTTTAATTGTCTTAGAAAACAAGAAGTTCTGCTTACTCTGAATGTGTAATGGGCATCTTGGTGAAGGGACAAGGGATCAAGTTGCAGTTATACCAACTCAAGAAGCCTACATTTTAGTGAACTTAGACATATATCACCTATATGCAAAGGTGTCATACAATGACTGAGTGAATAAATGAATTAATGAAGCTGCAAGGAGAGTGCATACAATCTACTTGAGAAAAAAATGGAAAAATCGAAGAAAAATCTGGATCAACCAGCCAGCGTTGTTTTAAAGTTTGAAAGCGAAACCAATACAGCTGTTTGGTTGGTCGGTTCGTCCGGCTTAACACCGCCAAGCGACTGAGGCTGTGCGATACCCCGTAGTGCAGGACTTCAAATAATCTCGACAATCTAGGGCTTTTTAACTAGCATTCGTGTCGGACAGCGGACAAAGCTCTATATCACCACCGCGATCGAGGTCGAACTCGTGCCCTCTGGGTCGGCATCGCAGCACCCTTACCACTGGAGCTTAAACAAACTAAAACGATTGAATGAGTGACATTTAAATAGTAATAGAAAAATCTAATGATCTTGTTACGTTGTTTTAATACTGAACGTTACCAATTCTATATATCATGCTCACCACCGTTGTCATAAGTTGATAAAATTAAGTATATATCTCAGCGATATTTTTTTCTTACGTCTAAACCTTTTAATGTTTAGGTGCTACTTCGAATTTTAGCTTTGCGAGTCAGCCATGCTAACATACACCTTGGTCCATATTGCGTACGCTTTAATGCCACAATCATCCTTCACTGCTCTGACAATGACTTCAGTAACCTTGTTATAGTTTCGCGTGCTATGAGGAAGGAACACATGACGAAAATGAAGCATTTAATGTCTCGCATCTTCATATTCTCTTTGTTGACACTAGATACAAACTATAGTCACATCTACAAATAGTTTCAAAGTACAGCAGATTCTGTATAAATACTGTGTAACTGTATAAAAGAAAAGGTAGCGATCATAGAGAAGCGTGCAATAACGAACTCGGCTCGTGCATCAACGAGGAGCTGTGTTATACAACCATTGTGTTCGACGAAAACACCTGAGATCCCACTTCAGCACGTGCCGTCGAAGAAAAAAAAATCACAGTTTCGAAGTAGGGGCCAAACAATCGGTGTGATAGCAACAAATTGGTATGCAATAAATTGGTACGAAGCAAGGTTAGCAGCTAGGTCTCTTGGATCCGACCTCGTGTACCTGACCAAGTGCTCGTTCAAGCTAGTACAGCCCATCCAGGGGGCGCAGCGGCGTTTGTGCTGTCTGTCGTCTCAATGCCAAATAGGCATTTGGAGTACTGTAAACAAAAGACCTGTCTGCTGATGTCTGTCACGATAGTGTACGTGCCAGCACTCGTTACTGCACCGTTAAAATAAAAGTTCTCAGTTGTTGCTCAAGTGACGCAGCCCCCCTCGCTCCCACCTCCCGACGCTCTTTCATGCTCCGTCGCCCAATGAAGGTTGGATGGGCTGTTTCTTTCCTGCTTAAAGCCATAGACGCTATGCCTCGCGCGTGGGATGATGCTGTCGCAGGTGCACGTGCGTCGAAGATGGCCCACTCATTTGATTTCTGCTTCAGATGCGCTTGTTGCGATAGCGCTCACCCGCTTCTACCAGTGCGCAGAACATGTGGTACAAAGGCCAACATTATAGATTAGGACTTTATACAAAACATGACTGCGACGTTGACCTAAAATACTTTCAGACAATGTTCATATACCCAATCTCTACAAAGAAAACAGTGCTACTGAACCGTGGTCATAGAATAGTTGCCAAGAAGAATCTTTCGTGAGTGCCGGGGATTTAAACACATCACATAATCGGTGACCTTAAATGGCGACTATAGAGAAAAAAAAAATTTTTGTATGCTCACCTGATGCTGTATGAAGAAATGTCTGCCTGGTCTCGATGTCTTGAAAGTAGGTAGACGTTTCGTTCGATGTATGAATTCTTAGTGCCGCCTTCAGATTTGTGCTGTCGTAAAGCTCTTCGAAGAACAGTACTTCTTTGACGATTAAGCCTGAATCATCACTTGGTCTCATCCGTACGATTTCACCAATAGCTCGAAACGAACCATTGTAAAATGGAGGAGATTGTCCTGCACAAAATAGCAGCGCCCGTTGAGTTGTTATATATGATTTCATTTGTTACAAATTATGTTTCATTGCATCTTTCGTATCGTTATACCATTGTATCATGATATCGCGTTAAGTTCTTGTGTACATGTATGCGAACATTGTCGTGTATATTAGAGCAATTGTCTTCACGGCAACGTAGTGATTTTGGTCGTGGTACATAGATGTGCTGAAGTGTGTGCCCTGTTACTGGAATGTTATGAAACTTTTGTGTTCTGTACATATTGTAAATAATAAACAGAAAATTTTGGCAGAGATGCAAACACGCACGTGGGCAAATGTTTCAGCCATAAAGAAGTATTACGTCATCGAATACTATTCAGCGGGTTTTAGGAATAGCATTTGTGACCCATGGCCTACAATGAGACTACAGAAAAGAGCACCCGTGGATTCCAAAGTCCTTAAAAGTCATATTTACGCTTGTAGTAAGCGCAACTAGAGGACCTCCCGCAAGTTACGACGTGTATCGTGTACACGTGCATTCTGAGTCCATTTTTGTTACGTGGTATAACGTCTTGATACGTAGATAAGTGTAGACTAGCTCCATGATTTGTGTAGCTAAACTTATGTTGCGCCTTTTAAAAATCTCTTGAGGGTTTCCATTTGTTCGCAGTGTGGTACGTGTTTACTTTTAACGTTACAACATTAAATTTTGCTCAACAGATCGCACATGTTCGTGACATTCGTGCTTTTCTGTGCAATGGTGCTGTTAAGTCTTTCTCTCCTTGTAAAGAGCATAAATTAAGGCTTCAGCGTGTCAATTAAAAAAGTACAATTCAAAGGGATGTTATACAAGGCAAGCTTAATCAAGGTTCAAGGTCAAGGTTCAAGTAAAAAAATTTCGTTTCGGCAATTAATCGCAATTATGCCCTATGCATTTCAGAAAAAAAGTAGGAAAGAACTGCTGGCGTAATGAATTTTCTCAAAATTACAATATTTTGGAAATATACTTTAGGTACCACCACAGTGACTTCACCACGACAGCTCATATTATCATTGCTCACCCTGCTGCTCTTGTCTTCATTTTTTTGCTAAAATTTTTTTCCACTCCTGTATAACAGTTTCTCCATTGCGTCTCATCGTCTCACCTCTTCACCTTGGTCACGGTCGTCCTTTGTTGAAGGCATCCGCCATCGAATCTTAAATCACCTCCACGATACCGACATTCTCACATGACTTTGCTATATGTAACCACGAAAATCGCAAAAAAAAAACCCATGCCGGCTTCTACCACTCCTCTTGTTTTTTATATTTTTTATTTCACCAAATACGCCTGCTGCACAATTATAATTCAATGAATAGAAACTAGGACACTGCCAATCGTCAACCAGTATCCCGTTATACATTAAAGTTGTTAGTGTAAATTGCTACCCGAAAACTTGCTTACTGACATTGGCTATTTTATGAAAACTATTACGACTGTTCCTTGCCGACAAGCCATTAGTCTTAAATTCGTTAAGATGGAATTACTACGAGACTACAACACCCGCTACGCACAGAGGACCCTCTTCATCCTCCTCTTGTTTTTTTTTCGACTACCATTCGTTTGATTAGCAGAAACGTCTGTAGGAGTATTTCTTTATATTTTGTTTTTATTGGCTATAAGCTGGGCACAGTTGCGTGGGATAAGCCTCCCCACTGTTTCTTTATTTCTTTTCATATCCCGGAGCATCAACAAGTCATATACGATGAGAAAACTAGTTGCCAGCACAAGCAACAAACAACAAAAAAAAAACAGCTCAGCCACCCGTGTACGTTGCTGAAAGATGCTGCTCCTCTGACGCTGTCACAATAGACGACATTGCGCGTTGCGGTTGTTGCGACATGCTGTGTCGAAACAATGACGTTCGTCAAGTTTTCGAGCTGTTTACTTGTACACTTGAGTAGTACGTGGCGCAGTCTGAATAGAAGAAAAATTAACCGCATTCAATGAGAAGGGACCAGGGACATTATTGCACCAGGTTTTGTTAAGGTACATCTGGCCTGCATTCTTGGTGGTTCGATGTCTATTGACTCCTCGGCAGGGGAAAGGAACATTATTCAAATAAACTCTGGTGAGATTTTGGTGTACGAAATACTGTTGCTGATTAGTGATATTATAATTAAGGCCGTAATTACTTAACGCGAACAAGATGACGTGTTACTGGCGTAGTTATGAGATGAGTAACTTTTTCTCTCCTATTTAAAATCTTCTGTGTCCCTCTGAAGAACAATTACAACAGAACACAACAAACGGTGGTTGTCAAAGTTCATGTATTTAGCATTTGAACATCTCACTTACACTCACACACACTATACGAATCAGAAATTGCGCGAAAGGAGGCCTGGATCAATTCGATTCAATAAATGAATTGTGCTATTGAAGACGTATGCGTTTCTTTCATTCAAGTAGTGATTGTTGTTTTACTAAGCACTTGTGCCGATGGCAGAGTCATGAACCTTTCAGCGTGTCCGTGGGAGTGAACTCGCTTGCTTACGCATGGGACACTCTGATAGTTTCTCAGGTGCTAAATACTCTTTCTTCAGGCAAGCGTTTATGCTGTCGTGTGTGTGCTCTTTCGCGAGCCCAGTAACCAATGCACTGAGGAAGTAAAAGTGGCGTGGTGCACACCTATTTACCAATACAGCTCTAAGCATTCGGTTTAACAAAAAATCAACATCAAGATTGCCAAGAAGCCCTTCGGTGTCTGACAGTTTTGATACTGTTTTACTGTTTTGTACTGCTGGGAGGTGTGTGTACTGCAGCTGTTTGTGTCGTGTTAAGACCCTAGTGATGACATACAAAAGATTGTAGTCTATTGGTCAGAGCGTATTGCTTGTGGACCAGCGGCCGAGAAAGTATATCGAAACGTTTGATTAACATGTACGTTTTTTATTTGTCCCTCAAGTTCGCTCCACTTAAATCATTGGTGTACTTGCGCGTTTACATGTGTATGCGTGGGCGCGCGCGTGTGTGTGTGTTTGTGCATGCGTATGTATGCACAAACACACACCAAAGGAACAAGCAGGATTTCGAACAGGCTACGCAACAATCAACCACATTCATACTATCAATCAGGTAATAGAGAAATGCTCAGAATATAACAAACCACTATACATAGCCTTCATATTACAAGAAGGCGTTTGATTCAGTAGAAATATCAGCCGTCATGCAGGCACTGCAGAATCAGGGCGTCGATGAAGCATATATAAACATCCTGGAAGAAATCTACAGAGGATCAACTGCTACCATAGTGCTTCCTAAAGAAAGCAACAGAATACCAATCAAGAAGGGTGTAAGGCAGGGGGACACAATCTCACCAGTGCCATTTACCGCGTGCTTACAGGAGGTTTTCAGAAACCTAGAATGGGAACAGTTAGGGATAAGAGTTAATAGAGAGTACCTTAGTAACCGGCGCTTCGCCGATGACATTGCATTGCTGAGTAACTCAGGGGACGAACTGCAACTCATGAATACGGAGTTAAACAAGGAGAGCAGAAAGGTGGGTCTTAAAATTAATCTGTAGAAAACGAAAGTAATGTACAACAACCTCGGAAAAGAGCAGCGCTACGAGATAGGTAGGCTTTCAGCTCTCCCATAGTAGAGTACTAAGTACTCTAAATCGTTAACCACTTTTTCTAAACACACAGATACCGATCCAGGGGGATGGCTTAGTGCTCTCTCATAAGTGAGTACGAAGTACTAGAAATTGTTATATTTTTTTCTAAACAATAGTGCACTTCAAGTTGTAAAAGACTATGTCTACTTAAGGCACGTAATAACCGCGGTGCCGAACCCCGAGACTGAAGTAACTAGAAGAATAAGAATGGGGTGGAGCACATTTGGCAAGCACTCTCAAATTATGACAGGTAGATTGCCACTATCCCTGAAAAAGAAGGTATATGACATCTGTATCTTGCCGGTACTTAGCTACGGAGCAGAAACCTGGAGGCTTACAAAGAGGGTTCAGCTTAAATTGAGGACGACGTAGCGAGCAATGGAAAGAAAAATGGTAGATGTAACCTTGAGAGACAAGAAGAGAGCAGAGTGGATTAGGGAACAAATGGGGGTTAAGGATATCATAGCTGAAATCAAGAAGAAGAAATGGACATGGGCCGGGTTTGTAGCGCGTAGACAGGATAACCGCTGGTCGTAGGATAACGACTGATTCCCAGAGAAGGCAAGCGGGTTAGGGGGAAGGTACATCTAACCTGCATTCTTGGTGGTTCGATGTCGATAGACTCGTCGGCAGAGGAAGGAACATTATTCAAATAAACTCTGGTGACATTTTGGTGTACGAAATACTGTTGCTGATTAGTAATTTTGTAATTAAGGCCGTAATTACTTAACGCGAATAAGATGACGTGTTACTGGCGTAGTTTGGAGCTGAGTAACTTTTTATCTCGTATTTAAAATCTTCTGTGTGCCTCTGAAGAACAATTACAACAGAACACATCAAACGGTGGTTGTCGAAGTTCATGTATTCAGCATTTGAACATCTCACCCACACACACTATACGAAGCAGAAATTGCGCGAAAGGAGGCCAGGAGGAATTCGATTCAATAAATGAATTGTGCCATTGAAGACGTATTCGTTTCTTCAATTCAAGTAGCGCTTGTTGTTTTACTAAGCACATGTGCCGATGGCAGAGTCATGGACCTTTCAGCGTGTCCGTGGGAGTGAACTCGCTTGCTTACGCATGGAACACTCTGATAGTTTCTCAGCTGCTAAATACTCTTTCTTCGGCTGCTGACCCGCAGGTCGCGGGTTCGATTCCCGGCTGCGGTGGCTGCATTTCCGATGGAGGCAGAAATGTTGTGGGCCCGTGTGCTCAGATTTGGGTGCACGTTAAAGAACCCCAGGTGGTCGAAATTTCCGGAGCTTTCCACTACGGCGTCTCTCATAATCATATGGTGCTTTTGGGACGTTAAAACCCCACAAATCAATCAAATACTCTTTCTTCAGGCAAGCATTTATGCTGTCGTGTGTGTGCTCTCTCGTGAGCCCAGTAACCAAGGCACTGAGGAAATAAAAGTGCCGTGGTGCACACCTAATTACCAATACAGCTCTAAGCATTCGGTTTAACAAAAAATAGACATCAAGATTGCCAAGAAGCCCTTCGGTGTCTGAGAGTTTTGATACTGTTTTACTGTTTTGTACTGCTGTGAGGTGTGTGTACTGCAGCTGTTTGTGTCGTGTTGAGACCCTAGTGATGACATACAAAAGATTGTAGTATATTGGTCAGAGCGTATTGCTTATAGGCCAGTGGCCGAAAAAGTATATCGAAACGTTAGATTAACATGTATGTTTTTTTATTTGTTCCTCAAGTGCGCTCCACTGAAATCATTTTTATGCTGGCGCGTTTACTTGTATATGCGTGTGCGTGCGTGCGTGTGTGCGTGTGAATGTGTGTGTGTGCGTACACGTGCGAGCGCGCGCCTTGCTGAAGAATCGCTGACGAATAGCAATGTAATGAATGACGTTAACGACATTTATTCCCCCCATTTCATTGACACACAAAATACTAGAAACAAACAGAGTAAATGAATCGACTGCAGAATACGCCTGCATTTATTCTTAGGGAGATCACCACGTCAGCACATTCCCTGAAGCTTGGAATAACAAGCTCCGCATCAGAGTCTACGCCAGTTGTTGCTTACGTATATTGAGAGTATACGTCTGCGAATTGGAAAAGAAAAAGTGGAAATCTCCTAGAGCATTATGAGTTCAGCTCGCCCTGATCCTCTTTCGTTAGTACTAACAGAGAAGCACTGCGAGCCTTGAAGCGCCATTTTTTGTATTGTCTTTCAGACAACCACTCTTTTCAATCAGCCTGCCTTTTCCCGCTGACGTAACGCTATACAGTTGTATTCCGTTCTAAACAAAAGTACGTAAATCACAGTAACATCATGAAGGACGTGTTACGCTGCGACGAGCTGTGACGTACAACGTTTTGACGTATTGTATAGGTCACTCTAAACGCCGTGCACATTAAATAAGTGCTGCACGTACCGCACGTCCCCAAAAATGGTGATAGGAATAATAACAGCCGAAAGCGCGGGCATCATTGTCTTTTCATTCATCATGATCATCATTATATAACAATATGTGAAGATTTAGCTATACGCCCTGAAACCACAGAATAATTACAAGAGACGCTGTAGTGTAAAGCTACAGAAGTTTCAACTATCTAAGTGCTCTTTATTGTGCACTGACTTTGCACAATTCACGGGCCTCTACCGTATCGCCTCCATCGAGAAAGTACCATCACTGTCGGGATCGAACACATGACATTCTGGTCTGCAGCTGAGCACCTTAGACGCAGATCCACCACGCCTGACGATCATCATTATCGACATCGTAGCTCTTGAAAACAAACACCTCTTTCAAAAATCTACAGTTACATCATTATCGCACACGATGATTCCATCTTAAGCCCGTGACGTTCGTCATTTAATCTCTGCACCTTATTCTCCGCTGACCTCATTAATCTATTATGTGGAGAGATTTTCTCATGATGCTCAATTCGTCACGTCATAAAACCGGCGGTCATATAACCTACCGGGGAGTCGCTGGGCACACGTATGGCTTCATTACACCCATATTTTATAATGAATAATCTATACACGAAATTACTGTTTTTGAGGTGTCGACATATCGTTAGATAGATTTTTCTACAGTGACAATATAGGATAATTTTGTGCCACGTGCCTCACAATAAGTAGTTAATCATCTTAACTTAGCTCGCATGAAGTTCCATAAATTAGGTGTAATATACCGACGAAAATACCGAACAGTTATTATAAGCTAAGTGAACTAGGTTCAAAGCGTGAAGCGAACCAGATTAGTGGGGAATTCGAGAAACCCTGATTTATACCCGGTGCCAATGAAGAACGCTTCGAAAACTGTCCAGCTTACAGACAGTGCCGTTATACTTAAAATATAAGGCTGACCGTGGTACTTATACACCTTCAATGTACACTACCACGTTTACTCTTCGAGATATTGGACAGGCCTCAATGGACGATTCTATGGAAACCAACCATAAAGTAACGCGTCACCGCAGACGTTCTTGCAGGACTACTCACCAGGTAACTTTTGAGCCCGCGCGGTAAAAAGAAAAGTAACCCAATCCCCGAAAATGCTGCAACGAGAGACGTGGACGTCATCTTGACGTGTGGATATCCATCAAGTAAACACAATGCAACACGCGTCCATACAGACTGTTCTGGGGCGTCACAGTATTTCTCCCTGCCCGCGGACAATGTGTAAGGCCTCATTTTTCCCGATTGCGAAGGGCACTAGAGAACGAGTCGCTGATAAGGGTGATAAGAATAAAGAGGTCAGATGCTTAATCGCAGCCTTTGTTAGCACCGGAGCATTGTACTCCCACCGGCGTATCCAATGGCTCTTGAATTGCTCCCTGTGTGGAGTAAAAAGTGCGAAAAGGAAGGTAAAGAAAAAGAGCGTTGAAGTGCGAACACACCTTTCTGTAATGCTGTTGGAAGCGTGCTTATAATATGGTAGCTGGAGTTCAGTTCCTGTTCAGACCATTGAAATAGGGGACAATGCTTGAACGTAGCACATCAGAGTAAAGCGCAATAACTGGAACAATATTAAGTTCCATTTCCCTAGCTTACCTGTAGAAAGAATTAAATTACTTGGAAGACAAATCCCTAGACAAGAATGTACTGTGTCTACAATCTAAATCCTAAATGCAACGTCTAAGATATTCCAAATAACGCTGATTAACAAGCAAGCTATAATTACTGATGGAAATTTTAAGTCGGTGGAATAACAAAGAAGGAAGTCGTTAAGTAAGTCCTTCCACCGTTCCTTCTCAGAAAAAACAATAAGCAAAAAATAAGGCACTTGGAATTCAGACTCACTGGAAGAGTGATTAGATTCAATAATGGAGAAAGATATCCTGTTACATTCTCCTTGAAGACACGGTGCTTGGAGCAAAGGTGATGTAAGCGCTGTAAGAAAGAAAGAAAAAAAGAGAGTTTGCTATATTGAACAGCTACGCAAGTTTCTTTGTAAGGCCTTCACTGCACGCGCTCAAGGTGTCGTTGAAGAGGGAAGGTTGCTAAGGACACGAATAATCGTGTTTCCGTCAGAGCTGGAGTGTTAAAAACAAACTGCGCTGCATTGACTGAACAATTGATCAAAGCACGTCTGATCTGCCGTGAAGGAACCGTGAAGAGCCGGATCACATTGTTCAGGGCAAAAGAAACAAGCGTAGAGTACCTATTGGTGCGGATCAAAAGTCCTCCCGCATTCAATAGTGTACCGAATGATGACATATTGATGACCAGCGTGCTCCCTCGCAGGTGTCAGTGCTTATGCGGTCAGTCACAACAGTTGACCAGACACGACCTCTGAGAATGCTTCGGATTCTCTTAGTTCTGGTCACAAAGTATCCTATTGAACGTTTCACAGCGCAAGGAACTTTGTGACGTATAACGCCGTGAATCATTAATTGGGTGGATCAAGTTTTCTAATTTGTTCTGCAGCAGAAGCGCTCTTACAATACATACATGACTGATATCATGCGCTCAGGGGAAGATCTCAACGTAACAAAAAGAAAAACAAAAGCGACGGCATTTCATCAGAAATGAATATACTACTCAGAGCAGTCAACTAAAAAACAGAAGCGCTGTCACAGAAGAGATAGGAAAATTCAAAACTTTTGTGGGTAACTGTCTCACGGACTTTCTTCGTCGACTATACAGGATTAACCGACTATACAGGATTAAGAAAAAAAAGGAGTTGCACAAGAAGCGTAGCAAGGGCAAGGAATGTCGACGACTAATCTGGCCTTTATCAGACTAGGTGGAACATGATCGTACACTCATTAAACGACCGTTAAAGCACCCCCACACGCTCTTCGCGCCATCTTGCTAGTGATAACAAAACACGCTGAAGCCGCCGAGCTCCATGTGCCTCGAGTGGTAAACGGTGCATATAAATAGCTCATGTTTAATAAGATGAAGAATGTACACTTCTGCGACCGAGTTAAATCGTGGCACGCGCTGAAGAGCGAGGGGTGATAGGTTCGACTCCCGGAGTATAGTTTTCCTGCTTTTTTCGCCATCTCTTCATGCATTTTTTGCATCCTCATGCACGTGACGGAAATGTATCAGTGGCGCCTTGGTGCACCCTTGCAGAAAAATACTTTCGTGTTAAAATGAGCTATTGTATAAGTATCGACTCACCTCGTAAATTGTTTTCAAAATTTTACGCAAAAGATGCGCTTAAAGACTTAATACATGACGAAAATTGCGAGAAAGTTGTTTTGCGCTTGACGAGGGTGACCACAATGGTTACGGTAACATTTGAAATAACCTACTTATTCAACCAAGCTTTTGCATAATGTGACAAGCGCCGAAGTGTCTGTCATCCTAATACAATGCATATTTGTGGTTTAAGAATTCAGGCACTTCTTGTCAAATAACTTGAGCAACAGAATACCATCGTAATTTACACGACGAAAATTAAATTGTGGAGTGACAGAATGCCATCGTCCATACCATGTTGAATGCGCCGATTCTTGTCTCGTCCGAGAAACAGAAATCACGGTTTAATGCAGGGCTGGTGTAGAGAGAGAGAGAGAGAGTTAAACTTTATTTAAGGGAAAGAGGAAAGGAGCATCATGGACCTTTAATAGTCGCGACCCTACGTCCAGGGCTTCACAGGCCTTAGGCGCCCGGCGGACTTGATCCAGGAGCGTGAGCTGCACTCCCGAGTCCTAGCTGGCGAGTTATGCCTCCCACTGCGTCATACTAGGTGTGAAAAGTATTCCGAGATAATTGTTTAAGCCGTCTGCCTTACGATCGTGGCCCCACGAGATGTACAACACAAACACACCAGACGTGAAATTCGCAAACTCGCAATGTTTTCAAAACATTAATATTGGACAATTCTCGAAACATCGTTTCAAAGAAGTCGTTTTGGTTCAAATGAGACAGCTCTTCCACTGCGTGGAATTCCTGAAAGCAAAAGAAAAAGAAGTAAATGTTGCTAAGCTCAAGAAGAATGTTTACATTGAAACTGAATATTAAAGCTTTCTCAAGAATGTTAAAACCTTGAACACAAGTTTGCAAACCAAAATACTAGCCAACTAAGAAATGTTTTTCACAAACGATGTGTAAAGTGATTATAGCTGTGACGGCTAAGTAGTTTTGGGTTACGGGACCAGCACGCTTCCACTGCGCCACTCTGCTGCGCTGGGTAAGTCGTTTTAACCTCAAGTCTGTGCCTAGTAGAAAAAAATATATAAAACGGTTGGGTGGAGTGGCAACATGATTAACCTAACAGGGAATGATATGGTGTTCCTAATGGCAAGACCTAAGTCACGCGTTCAGTGTTGATTAACACTGCGGAATGCCTCGCTCAAAATAGGCACGCCCCCCTGCGGCTTCACGTGCTGCGTGCATTCTATAAACACGGGCGGGCATTAATGTACCTGTGCTATCTTTGTCAATGTTTTCGGGAGTGGGACCTCTTCCTCGAGTGATTCTTAGGGTCATGTTAGCAAATATGTTGCACACGAATGTTTACGGTGAATATAAAACAAATGAAACGTAGGGTACCTTAGGGCTTACCACGAATTAGCTTTTCGCAAAACACCTTGAAGGTGTTCTTGGAAATGGCCTGCCGTAGAAGTAACTCTAATTGAATGACTCTTGTTGATGACACTAATTGAATAATATTGAATACTAAGATGAATTTAATTGAATACTACTGCTCCCCTTTATGACACCCAAAAAAGTAAATGTGAGCCTGCTTTTGTGGTCATCGAAAGTCCCCTAAAACATAAAAAATAAAAAAAAATTCATTGCACTGACATGGATAAGAACGGGCTAGAAAAGATCACTCTGGGATCACGCTGCAGCCGTTGGAAGAGTGTGCAAACGCAATAATTTTAATTGCCGTAAGACACGTCTACGTCAAGGTGAGGAATCGTCTCCTCTGCCAGTTAGGAACCAAGTTGCCTCTGTTATTTTGAGCAGCATAACTTAGCTCAAAACTTTTTGGTCATTGAATAGTTAGTGTCTTGGGACAACTTAAGAGCGTACTAGTAGTGCTATAACAGTCACCTAATCTGTTCGTAACTAGAAGGAATTTGCTCGTGTCAAGAAAAAAAATGCATTCGCATTTCAGAATTTTCCATCACTACAGCACTTGTCACAAAAGAAAGAGACTACAGAGAACGACAGTTGTAGTGCAGCAGATCCACCGACGGATATGCACCCGTGACGGAAGACGAGGAAATACCCACGCGGCGACTGCGCAAGAGCCTGTGCCGCTTTGATTGATTGATTGATTTGTGGGGTTTAACGTCCCAAAACCACCATTTGATTATAAGAGACGCCGTAGTGGAGGGCTCCGGAGATTTTGACCACCTGGGGTTCTTTAACATGCACCCAAATCTGAGTACACGGCCCTACTACAGTTCCGCCTCCATCGGAAATGCAGCCGCCGCAGCCGGGATTTGAACCCGCGACCTGAGGGTCAGCAGCCGAGTACCTTAGCCACTAGACCACAGCAGCGGGGCCCTGTACCGCTTTGGCAAGCCCTGCATTGCGTTAGCATACGGTCCTCCTCCGTTACGACTTCATGACGTCAATGAAGCTCATCGCACAGTTTTTAACAATCAAGATGTGTCACTGCGATCAAGGATGCTTATTATTGAGCTACGATATTCTGAACTATAAGTTACAGCCTGCACCAAAGTACTGTGGTGCCAGTGGTTGCACAATAACTAATAATGAGCTTTGTAACAACACAGGTTTATAAAAGGCAAGTCTAACTCACCTGATCGTTCTTCGCAGCTTTCACATGAAGGACAGGTATTTGCGCAACACTTTTGACAGTTTTCTAGGGTGTGAATATGAAAGCTGGATTCTTGCGGACTACTTTAGAATTGGCTTTTTATGTTATGCGAAGGTCAAAAGGACAGCACAATGGAGACAAATGCACAGGTGGCAGTGAGAACATAGTGCAGCCATTCTTTAAATGCTGTGATTAATCTAGGACTATGTTCTACTTTGAGTGCAGAGAGCGAGAAAATATAAAATGGGGGAAATGCGGGGAGGTTAATAAAAAATTGGAGCATCCGGTTTGCTACCCTGCACCAAGCGAAAAGGGAATGCGGAAGAAAGATAAGAAAGAAGACGAAGAGCAAACTAGACGCGCGAAAGAAAATAGAGCAGGGGTTGTTATGCCTGCGAGTCGACAGCGAACGTCCG